AAGCGGATACAATACATATTATGGATGCATCACATAAATATACTAGGTTTAGCTAAAAAATTTCATCTGTAGTACCCTATGATTGTATCTTATTTGTTGTAACCACCTTATTTATTTCTTCACCATATCAATCAGTCCAATCAATTCCCTATAATATATTGGGAACATAAGATGACTGCAAACAATTTGTGAATAGAAGCCTTTGTTGATCTAAGTTTTAACATWAACAAAATAAAGTTAACCATTTTTGTTTTAGTTTAGCAAAAAAAATAAATACTTGAGTCTGCAGAACACATGCTAACAAGATGCCAGGTTTCAGCCTTGTTCTTTCCAAGAAAAGACTGCAGTAAAACTTTTGGGTGGCACATACCTTTGGCGGGACATTCACTGTTTTTAATTTAGTCCTCGAAAATTAAAGAGTGTCAAAAGGATGTCTGACACAGAGAGCAGGAAGAGATTAATGAGACATTACGTCTCTGTTCCACTGACTTTCTTCTTCTCTTTCAACTTATTTACTGTTCCCGTCAGGCTAATGTGGCATAATGAGAGTGATAAATCAGCACTGTCTTTTAGCTCTACCACTGTGATGCACAATCCTATATCCATAGATTTATGCTGTTGTTCCAAGAAGTAAATGAACACCTTCAACCTCTTAGGAGTCTTCTTTCAGAGACTTCTTATGTGTTATTACATATATTCATGAAATTCTCTATTGACAATAAATTGTGTGGGGAAAAATGCATTGACTGGTGTTTATGTATACAAAAATGGTTTTACGGAACTATCTTATTTTTAGTTGTTTTTGTTTTTAATTCAATGCTGAATATAAGCTCCTTTATGACACATTTATCACCCACAATGTCAATAATGTTTGGACAGGATATTAATTAAAATGTAACACATTTTCTCCAAAAGGTTCAGATGTTGTCTAGCTACAGTATTTTTACACATCCTGCTTAGAATTAAAAAAAAAAAACATCAAAACACCACACAGAAAAGCTCCAGATGAGACTCAAACTAGGGACCTTTGTTTAGTCACAGATGGATAAAACACAAATAAAAGCAGTTGAGTAGAGCTGGAAAATCATTTAAACCAGAACAAACATTATGGGTGAATTTTCTATGGACATTAATAATAATAATTAAAACAAAGAATAAAGTTTTTCTGCTTTAAGACAGATGTTCTGTGCAAACGTTTCAACAGTTTAAGGAAAAAGTTGCCCAACACCAATCCTAATAAATCCTAATAATAAATCATCTACAGTTTATAATATATTTGAAAATGCAGAGGAACTGGAACATAATAGCCTTTGTGCCACGTACTTCCAATTCTAGCACCTCTACCTTCAYTTTTGCCTTCTACTTTTAATTTAAAATAGGTTTCCATTCTCGGAAGGTTTCTAAGGTTTTTCTTCTACGCATTAAAAATGTTGTTAAACATCTGAGTGGCACACTACTGCCAGTGGTGAGAAAGTGTATCGCACGTTATTCAAAATCAATGTGGTCCCGCGGCCCTCTGCGGCCCAAAGTTAAAAACTGTTGTTCTTATGAGGCCCTCAAGGTGGYGCTCGCGGCCCATAGGTTAAGAATCTAGAGTTTCTTAATGGAAGTTTGCAGGTTCAAGGTTTTCGTTGGAGAGAGGCGGGGCAGAGGACACACTGGAGAATCTACTCAAGCTCTAGAAGAGTATGAACAGTGACAAGGAAGAAACCTGAGGCAATGTGTCATTGACTCGGGGGTTCAATCCTGGACACAGGTTAGCACAAAAAACAAACTTGGTTACACAAATCATTCATCGAAGGCGTAACTCTGGCTGTCATACACAGTACAGAAGCTGACTGATTGAATATTCCAGCGATGGATGGATCTCAGAAGGCGGCTTAAGTAACACCAGGATGTCATCAGTGAAGACTGCACACAGGTGAGTCCATCCAATTCTCCACCCATGACACTCAGAAAACACTGCAACAACAAATAGTGAACACAAAAACAGGCCAAACCTCTACAGTTAGACAGTTATTAGTATCCTGTTGTTGACTTTTGGGCAATTTCACAAAAAGAATAAAATCTGGTCAAATGGGTACAAAAAACACAACATCTTCAAGTAAAATTCTAAAATTAGCAACTATACTATGGCATACTGTTGGAGGAAAATAAACATTTAAGATTAGGTCACTCACTACGGCTTCATCTACATGCTGGCGTGTCGACTGCAGATTTTAGCTGTGACTTGGCAACCTGCAAAGGTCAATGACAAAGCAAAGTGATGATGTGTCAGTCGAGGTCAAGTGGTTTTCAAATAAATCCATCATCTGATGTAATAGCAGAGGGGTCAATTTAAGCTCTCCAAGTCTTTATTATTCATGAGCGGTTGAGAGGAAGTGTGCATGATTTGCAAAATAGAGGACAAATTAATATAAACATCACTATCCCTCCCTGTCTTCTGACCTGCATCTCTAAGGAGTTTTATCCTTGGATCGCTCTCAAAYATGCATCAATACATTGGCTGGGATTAGCCACTGAACTCCTCGTGGACGTCGTTTTACTTCTCTTTATCTTTTGACAGCGTGTGGAAAATTGAAACCGTCCTCTTTCTCGTTTGAAAGGAGCTGCCATGGCGGTGAGATGTTTCAGCTGGTGTGCTTTGATGACATGTAGCAATGAGAGCAAGAAGCTAATAAGGATTTGCTTATGGATCAAACAAGCTTTAGAATGACTCGCACTCTTTAAAAATTAATTAACACATTTGCAGAAAATAGATATGCATGGACCAAACTGTGCTCAGTTATTGCTGAGAGCTGAGATACAATGTGTGATTTTTTTCGTCCTATTCTTTATCTTACTTCTTTGCAAGTTTTTTTCTGTTTTGAGGATTTTGGAGAAGACAACCTTATCTCCCAGTTCTTTGGCCTAGCTGGCTTGAATAATATTACACAAGAGTCCCATTATTTTTAATGGAATTTCAAAAACAATAAGAATTTGTTTAGTTTGGAATTCACCTCAGATTTGTTTATTAAAAAACAAAGAAAAAAAAACTCCAGAGTGGTTTGTTTGGTCCTTTCTGTGAAGAGTTTGTATGTTTTGCCTGTGCATGTGTAGTTTTTTTACTCCATTTTACTATCAGTCCAAAGATGTGTGGTAATGTGTACTTTATAAACTTTTAATATTTTTACAACTCTTGTCCCTATTCCCTAAGATCCTGTGTATATGTGTGTGTTTCAGGTTCCCCAGGTGGTCGGGAGTTAATTGGGAGGCAGCTGGCCGGAGACTTCAGAGGAGTTCATTTAAGAGCTCCCCCATTTTTAATTAGTTAATATTATGTGGTATTACATTTTTGTTTAGTTAAAATGAAACACTTGAGTTATTTCTGTGTGCTTCCCCTTTCTTTGTTGTGGTCTCTGATAGTGGTGTCCCAATGCCAGTACTCCCAGTCATAGAAAATACCCCAATACTCAGAACTGATACCAATAACTGTATTTGTGCTGAGACATTACTATCGATACTCACTATTACAGTTTACATTTCATGTGAAGTTTGTCAGTTTGATGTTTATTTATGAACCCGGCACGTGAAGCAGGGCTCACATTGTTTTCGTTCTGTTTATTTATTTATTTATAAGATTTTTGATCGGCTGTAGGATGAAAATGGCTGCACTAGTCAACGTGAAATTTGGTAATGTCGATGTGTCCGACCTACACTGTGTCAGCCAACGGTTTTACAATAGATCCCCATGCTTGGAGATGGAGCTCCATCTGAAAAGGGGGTATCTAGACATACAACAATCAAAAAAATTACAAATAAAAACACAAACTTACAACAATCAAGTTCAAGTTATCTTTAATATCTCCATGAGGCAACTTGTGTTACAGCCAGCAGGGAAAAAAAGCATCCATCAACAATAAACACAGTAAATAACATAAAACATATTATGGTAAAGGCATATATATTACATATCTACTAACACACACATAACACTCAACAAGAAGTATTTAAAAGAACAATGGCAGGCAAGAATGAATTCTCAAACCTGTTAGTTCTGCATCTTTTTAAACCAAATCTGCATCCTAATTGTAAAAGAGAAAACTCTGAACAGTGGGTGGTTAGGCTCAGCTAAAATTGCCTGAGCTTTCTTAAGGGGTCTATTTCTGTGGAGAGTGGAGATGCTATTTAGTGAGACATTGGCAATTTTGCTGCAAAGACTGACAATGCGGTGTAGGTGTTTTTTTTTCTCTGTGTCAATAACCCATCAAACAAAAGAAAAAGTAAGAACAGATTCAATAAAATTGGCAATTCAACACAGGAGCTTCTTTTTTTAAGCTATCATGAATGGCTATTCATTGGGCTCACCAATGAGTCCACCCACTCCCTCCGGACCCCCACCCAAAACAATAAAATTGTTCAGGTGACCTCTGAGTTCTGATGTGTTTGTGCTTTGCATATGTGTGGGGGGTCATTTCTAGTTTTATTTATTTGACAATGTTGCAAGAGTTTATGTATTGCTGGTTTGATACAGTCAGAGGGGCTGTAGGCCTGTAAGGAAAGAGTATTTTAAAGAAAATAAATTTGTTTTAAAGTCACTGTGTAATGCTTAGGTTCAAACTCAGTAAGGACTCAACATTGGCAAGTAACCAAACTGAAGCACTCTTATTAGATTTGAGAAAAACTGGTATCAGGGACATATTTTATATGAGAATATGCATATTTTATATGAGATTACACTCATCTGATGTATGTTTTAAAACTACTATGTATTTATTTTGTTTTTTTTCCCTCAAATGTTTTGAAAACAGTGCATTACATGCTTATAGAATTGGACAGAAAATAAGTAAAGGCAAAATATATCCAATGTTTTGACCTACCTTCAGAAAGCCTGGAGAATTCAAGACTTCATGTTATAATAAAAAAGTCTGACTAAAGGAAAATAATAATGAAAGAAACATAGTTGAACAGTGCTTCATATAAAAGCTTTAAAATTTTAGTTGAGTTTATGCTGGTGAAACGTTAGTTTTTCATGACAAAAACAGTACATTAAGATTGTGGTAATTTGTTGCTTCTTGTTGCAAATTTACTGCAAGTATGGTGTGAAACTGCTGTGGACATATAAGAAAAAAATATTCTTTATAAAAGTCATTTTTAAAAAGTTAAACATGAAAAAAGCACAAAATTTATAATAGAAAAAACAAACACAAATTTGAGTTAAACCACGTTTCTTCCAGGAGGCAGACGGCACGTCTCTGTGACTCTGTGGTGGAAATGATCTGAAGCTGTGGCATTGAAGTGGGTGGCCCAGCATGATGGCAGATGTAGAACATTTAATTATGACTAGCTGGATCAAAGTAGCAGTAGGAAGGCATGAAAAGGTGTGAAATAAAACTTATTCAAAGAACATGCTAATGGTACAGTTTCTTTGTGAAGTTCAAATCCGTAACTTATTTTATTGACCTTTTCAGTCGGCTGATGGACGTCAGCACAAACTTTGCTGTTGAATCAAGATTTGCCTTTTGTACAAATTTTCCATTGTTTCTGTTTGTTGAATAATGATGTGGTGAAATTTGTTGTGTGTTTTTTGTTCACTTGAGGTTAGATAGATTTAAATAATTTTAGACCAGGTCCATTTTGTTTGAATCCAGATTGTAAAACCCACAATTTGGAAAAAGGTTGAAGCTTACAGAAATGATGAATGCTTTTGTTTCATTCTCTAACCATGATATTATTAAATTAGCCTTAAAATAACAAACTTTGACAAAACACATTAGACAAAATTTATGTAGAAATCTTACTGAGACTCAGTCCTGTTTCAGAGTATTTTAACATATAATCTCCAGCATCCATGAAGCAGGTTATTTTACATTATGAGAGCTGAAAAGGATGTAATGTTCTATACACAAGCCTGTAAACGACCAGGAGATGAATTGAGAATAAAGTTCAAGAGGTTATTACACTTTCTGTGAGAAAGTGGTTTGTTGAGCAGAATAGTCTAGACAAAAATAAATAAATAAATAAAAATCTTTGAATGAGGAAGGAAATGAAAAGAAATACTTCATGTGTGGCTATAATTACATCCCACTTCAGCAGACTATTAGAATGCATACTTTGTTGAAGTTTGGTCAGATTGGACTGAATTTAAATCACTCTAATGTGAAGCCGCTCTGCATTCAGTAAATTGACTTGATACGTGTAATTCCACTCATGAATTTTCTGTTGCGTTTGGATAAGAATTGGGTCCCATTATCTGGAAAAATAAAAAAATAAAAAGGCAACTTTTAGAGGAAAATTAAGTTCAAAGGGCCAGAGCTTTGGAATTCGGAACTGTTTTGTTTCTGTGTCAGGAAATATAGTTTCAACACTTTAAACAGTGATGACTTGTTTTTTCATTTCCTCTCAAAAGGCTTTTTTTTTTAAAGTCAGCTGTTCATCATTCAGAGAAAAGTCGCTCTTTACGTGCAGCTTTATGTTTTTATTATATTTGCTAGAGAAACACAAACTATGTTGGAACCTTTCTAGATGTTTGAATATTTGGTGGTACAGTATGGGCAACAGCTTAGCTCATTCTTGGTGGATGGCATCACAGTTCCTTCAGCTCAGCTCACTCTGACTTCCAAACTGGAACTATTTTATTTTTACTCTTTCCTATTTCTATTCTAAGACTAAACAAATCTCTTCACTCGGTTTACCAAGCGTTTTTTTATGGAGCAACTGCAACTTACTGCTCCCAGTCTAACTTTCAGACACACAGCCAGACAGAGAAAATAGGATTTTTGAAAGGATTAAACCACAGAGATGCTATAGCTGACAGACCTCCCTACTACTGGACCATGTCAGGCTGTTTGACTGATGTGATTAGTCTATAAATCTGTATTAAAAAACCCAACAATTCCAAACATTTTATATAAATCAAAGTGGCATCAATCAGCTTATCAGTCTGTGGAGTAGAAATCCTCTTAGTGCATTTCTCCACCTACTGTATGTAATAACCAAGACACTATGTTTAATGTTGGTTAACGAACTGAAGGGATCAACCATAAACCCTTTTCACTTAAACACAAAAATAGACATATGACTGTTTTAACAATGAAAAATGTATAACAAAGTTCCTGAAATATATTATTTAGTCCATTGAATGAATCAGCAGCTGTTAAAACATGCCAAAAAATATGTCCACCTGTCCAGGAGAAAAATGAGCAGTTATAAACAACATATATTTTTTAATTTAATTCTATATGTAAATGAGATTTTTGTGTTGATCTAAATAAAAGTATCTGTGTTGGCAAATATATTGTGTCAGGGAGAATCTATTGCTTTCTTTGGCCTTTTTTGTTTGTTGTTGTTATTGTTGTTGTTGTTTTCTTCTTTTTTTCCAACTTTAGTTAATCTCTTGTGTCTTACTGCAGCTCCCGTGAGGCTACCATTGGTGGTCTTTGGGTTTTCTTTGACATCTTGAATTCATATGAACTAAGTAAATAGCTAACTTCCACACCCTGCTTTTTATTGTACTCTCCTGAAACTTACCTGCCTGCCCACTCTCCATCGACTTTTTCTCTCCCTGGACTCCCAGATGGCTACCGCTCATTCCCCTGGATCTGTGGATGGTGGGGGAAAAAAGTCAGATGCTCTTTTGACTCCTAGTAAAAAATTGTGACAATTGTCTATAGAGCTAGATTCTGCACACTGCTGACCCAGGACATGTTTTCATAGATATGTTTATGAAGACTGAGCAAGCTGATTTAGGCCTTCATTGAGAAAAGTAAAAAAGAGGATCATAAAGACCACTTTATCAAAGAAAACTTTTTATTATAGAATAGATCATTTACTTTTGATTTAAAGAATTAGATTACTCGTAATTCCACAATAACTGTCAAAATGCACATTTTAAATGTGTTTTTTATGGACTGAGACAAAAGCAGGATAGAAGATGAATATATTTTAAAAAATGAACTCCCTCCTAAAAATGTCACATGTCAGATTCAGTCCTTTTTTGTAGCTATCTTAAAATTTTATCAAAATCGTTTTTATCCTGTAGTAACTGTTTTTTTTATATTATTTAATCCCCCTACCTTCAGCCTAATCTGTTACTTCACATCTGTATTTATAACATTTTTGGGAAAGTGCTGGAAGTCATGTAGATTTGTTGAATGCAATTTTTTTTCATTGCAGCTTTGTCAGCGTTCATTTAAAAGAGCAGCATATTTAATAAAGTGCATTACCAGAGGTCACAACACCAGAGACGGTTGATTCCTTAATAACTACCTTTACCTTCTTAAAACCTCAGAATAAGACTATTAAACAATGTAAAACACATTTTTATTGTCTGAATCTTCAGGGAGGATTGGAGCCGACGTGTCAAAGTTTGTGTGTCTTTGTTTTCCAGCCTGACATCCAGACAGGGGTGGGGGGTAGGGGCATGCCTCAGCCGACTCAAGAATGTTTAGTTGAACCCCACTAATAGGGGTGATGGTGCTCATTTAACAGTCAAATGGAGTCTCATTTAATCCCACAGATGTGTCTTATCAGTGTTTTCCAGGTTTTATTACCTTACTGCACTACTCTGTATTCTGTCAGTTATTTTTTTCTCTCTGTATCCCATCCTCTGGAACTAGAAATTGGAGAAAGCAGTAACAGAGACAACAGTCTCGTTCTGAATTATATTATGTGATTAAAGTGATTTTAAAAAATACTGGAGCATATCGATTCAAAAAGAGATCATGTTGTTTTTTGTCATGAGCATATTTTAGAAGTAAATATAATTTGTAATCAATCCATTGTCTTCCTATTACACTTAGAAATCCTGACATCCAGGCAGCATGATGCAAAATCCTGGCAAAACATAAAACAAGCAAATGCACACAAGTGTGCTGATGAAAATGCTTTGTAAATGGTACACATTTACAAGTCTATGTCCTGTTATTCACCAGAAAGTGTTTGACAAGTTTTGTTAGTTAACGTGAGTTGTTTTCATTTCCCAAATATTAAAACAAGATTGATAAAGAAGTTAAAAAAGTGTAAACAACCCTAGAAAGGATCTTATTGCATATTAGCTTTAGTGATACCAAGTCTAAAATGTGTGTGACAAAAAAAAAAGCAAAAAAAAAAAAAAAAACAGAATCTGAAGCCTATAGGCCAGTATTTTACAGGATGGTGACTGTTGAAGCAAAGTTTGCAAGCAGCATGCACAAAACTAAATCTGCCTATTTTCATTTCAAAAGATGCTTCAGTAGATCAAACCATAAAGGTTGAAGCAGCCACCAAAGTGGGCCAACGTGAGTATGATGTGGGCGGTTATGGGAAATGAAACAATGTAAGTGGCTAAAAAAATGTTTTGCAAGCTTTGGACTCCAAAGTAAGCAGTGAATTTTGAAAACTAGGCACAATAAACATGGCTGCAAACACAGCATGAAAACTTGAGTTTCCAACTGTCTCCAAAAATTGCAGCCCGTTTTAATTTCCCTATTTTTCACAAACACATGTTTTCTTTACCTCTTTACATTGTTTTGTAGACAAAACAAACAAATAAAAAAAATGCTATTGTCTTTTCACATCAAATGGTTCACCTTTATATTTTTTGGCCTGACGTCAGAGTATGTGTAAATAGATCCACAATTACTTGTAACATTGTATTTTATCCGATTAACATATATTTCAACTGCAAAATATAGTAAATACCATGATTTTTTTATTTCATTTTATTAAATTGTTGTGTGTTTTAAGAATGAAAAAAACATAATACATATGAATGAACAACACTCGAGCCTGCACAAGTAAAAACCGAGCGACAACACTGAAAAGTTGAGTGATTTGCCGCTTTAACAACTTGTGAATATTTCTCAACAATAACCCTGATTAGTAGAAGTGCTCATTTTTCCTCGCCTACGCACGACCCTGGGAAAAGAAAGGCGCTAAGGGAAGCGTTTTTTTTTTTTAAGAAAAATATCTACCAGCAGGAGGAGATGTCATCGAAAAAAATCAGGAAGTTTCTTTTTTAATTCAATAACAAAATAAAAAGGAAACAGAGAAATAAAATAGATGTGGCAACTCTTCTGCTGATTTATATACAGATGGAAATTCATCATAACTAAAATGAATAAATCTTACATGTCACAATGTTTTAAGAAAGTTATTGTTGCATGTTCCTATCAGCCATTCTGTCTATAAAAGCAGGTGTTGCTGGATCTAAGCAGGGCAGACTCTTACCAAGTGCACCAGCATGTGTGCTGTGCAGAACAACTGCAAAGTGTAACAAAACCTTGGGGAGCAAGAAGCCAGTTAGAAACTTTTATTACAGCACCTGTTCAACAAGCTTAGTCATGTTTGGAGCTCAGCTGCTCTCATTTCAGTGTGGTATTCTTTTTACCTGACTACAGTGCAGGTGAATGGCACATTGTTATGGTAAATCACATATTTGTATAAGAAAACTGTGCAGATTTACAAAAGATTACTTCTCAACATTTACAAACACACTCACAAGGTGGGCTTTAATACCAAGATTAACTTCAGATATTTCTGTTGTTCTTTTGTACTTGCTTTGGATGCACATTTGGAAATTCAAGGAGATCAGCAACAATGCACTGACTTTGGAAAGCCTTGATTTTATAAATTATCAATATGTCTAAAAAGACTGTTAAGTTTGGTTTTATGTAAATAAGATTGAGACTTATCCATCAGTAAGGATTGAAACTGATGACCTGGTGATAATCCTGAGATATGTCTGGGCTTCACCTAATTTATACACCTGAACTGGTTTCTATACAGAATTATGAAATACAGGTGTCAGACAATGAAACTGAAACAGCTGTCATTTTAGTGTGGGAGGTTTCATGGCTAAATTGGACCAGCCTGGTGGCCAATCTTCATTAACTGCACATTGCACCAGTAAGAGCCGAGTGTCAAGTTTCAATTAGCAGGGTAAGAGTACAGGCCTGTCCGGCAGCCCTGCACAGTGAAGTTCATTTTAGAAATAAAACACAAATATGTCCATAAATAATTTGAATGACTGTCACTCTGTGATAAAGGCAGAGGTTCCTATTGTAGCCTTTTGCCAAATGACCCTGTTTTATTGAATAGCCTGTATTCAATTCAATTTCCACACAATTGTTTCTATTTCTCTCAGTAAAAATATGAGATAAATGTCCTTCCGTTAGTGTGTTATAAGGTTGTTCTTCTGAGAGCAGAAAGGGTTTTGTAACTTTTCCCCTCTGCCTTTCACCAAACCATACCATAAAAGTGCTGTACAATAGACAGACACAACATGACATAGTTAAAATTACAGTCAAAAATACAATCAAAATACAAATCAAAATATGGAGCATTTATATTTACAGTACATATCGAACAGAGTTATGATACACAGTAAGGTTTTGCTCCATCTCAGGCAATGGTGTAGTGGCAAAATTTTGACAAAATCAATGCTTCTCTGTCAGTTTGTGTTCTCTGACTGTTCTGGTTTTATGACAGATGGCAGGTCAGGGCTCTGTTGACTAAGCCAAATTGTTGAACATCTCTCCAAATGTACAGCATTCAAACTCTGTGCAGCTAGCCTATTCTTGTCTCGAGTAATGCATGAGGAAATAAATTTATTTGGTGGGATATTTATTAATATTTTATTAGTTACAGTATTTTTTATTTGTTTAACTTTGAATGAAATGGCTTCATATTGAACAACAATCCAATGATGCCAGAGGGAAGAACCATCAGCAAGATGTGTCAGTAGACCTTTAAAGAAGGGAAAACGTTACTTTGTCATTCAAATTTCTGTATAAAACTGGGACAATAAAAAGAGAATATAGTAGAGGGGCGGCTGTGGTAGAGTGGTTAGGGTAGTCGACCTGGAACCGGAAGGTCGCCGGTTCGATTCCCATCCAGTCGACTCAGTCGTTGTGTCCTTGGGCAAGACACCTTACCCGCCTTGCCTACTGATGGTGGTCAGAGGGTCCGGTGGCGCCTGTGTATGGCAGCCTCGCTTCTGTCAGTGTGCCCCAGGGCAGCTGTGGGTACAATTGTAGTTTGCCATCATCAGTGTGTGAATGTGTGTGCATGGGTGAATGTCTGCAGTGTAAAGCGCTTTGAGTGTCCCTGATGGATAGAAAGGCGCTATATAAGTACAGTCCATTTACCATTTAGAGTAAAATAAATAAAATAATCATTATAAAAGGTCATTAATTCTGTTTGTTTACTCATAAACATAAATGCAACTGATCTGTTTTTACCTGGAAGTATCAGGTAAGATATTCTTCTTGAAAATGGTGAAATACAACTGAATGAACTAGAATGCTGTACTTCTCCAATAAATGTGAAACTCGGGGGTTGGGGGTGGGGGGTTAGCTCGAGATCTGTGGGTGGCACTTCCAGCTTGATTATAGCTGTCAAACCTTTCTGACACTGAGTGTTGCTCAAGACTTTCATTAGTGATCACATTCATCATGGGCTTTGTAGTCAGCCTTGCCTCATTATTTAAAGTTTCTTCTTTCATCTCATTTTAAAATTGCATGTGTTTTATTCCTTCAGTTTTATTGTTCGGATTTTCTCACGGGTTAATTTTTTCCTTATTGTAAAATCTCAAAGAAGATCACTGCCAT